AAAAAAAAAAAAAAAACATTCAATATCTACTCAAAGTGGTATTCTGTTTGCCATAAGGGAATTAGAGCCAGATCGGGAGTGGAATGCAGAATTCCCAGATCTTTCCCTCATATTGCAAGGCACCAACTCACTCCTAAGAAGAAAACCCAGTCAATCATTCAGCACTTTAATTAAGCCTCTAAGCACACAGATGAGCCAGCCGGCCTTGAGTCCCTGCCCTCAAGGAGCTTACACTATTCTAGAGAAACCAAAATGTGGGCACGCTATCCAACTCTAATGACAGTTATAACAGAATACCATGGCAAAGAGAGTGTCTTGCCAAGGACAGAGGACACTTCCAGCTGTGTGAACAGGAGAGACCTTGTGCATGGACAGGCGGCATTTTCAAGGCTCTCAGGAGTTTACCCAGGATCAAGGGCAGGGAAGGAGGAAATCTCAGGTAGAAAGGAACACATGGAGTGAGCAGGGGCAGGGCGGCAGGTGAGCCCAGGATCTGCCTGGTCGTTGGCAGGTGGTCAGAAGAGCTGGAGAAAGGGGTGTGCTGTGTTTAGGGACAGAGATCAGGGGCTTTTCTGAGCAGGGAGGGGGTTGAAAGGGATGGGGGGAGGTGAATGAGCAAGTGAATATTCCTCTAAGAAGAAACTGCCATTTAAACCTCGCCAACAATCAAGCACACAGGCTCCCCCAGCGATGTCGCGCCGCAGCAACACCATACACACCAGAAGAGCCTCCTTCTCAGCGCTGTGCTTCTGCTGCTGCTCCTGCAGCTTCTCCTCGTACTGGCTGTACAGCTTCCTGGTCATCTCTCTCATCACCTCGGCATTGGCCTCCTGGGACGACTCCACCTGCGAAGAAACTCGTGTCAGACCTATGGCTTCTGCAGAATCCAGGAGGATGGCAGCTTCCGCTCGGCACATCCCCACGTGGACTCACAGAGATGGGAGACGCACCAGCTGGGTCCTGTAGCAGAGAGAAGTGGGAACTGACAGGAGGGAGAAGGTGAGCAGAGTCACAGAAAAAGAGGAAACAGCCTTTGCACTGATTCATTTGGGCATCGTGACAAAGGTTCTCCACACAAGTGAGTTTTTCAGAGGGTGTAAACTTACTTCCCTAAGCAAACCCCTTCCTTGCACTGGCCGAGAGTTCTGTCAAGCTCAGATAAGAAATCTTTTCACGCCTTTGTGCTTTCCTTTGGAAATACTCCAACCTAGTATGGGGAATGCTAAGTGGGCACCCCTAGTGGTCAGAGGCAGGCCCAGCTTAGATGAGGTTAGCAGAGCTGTGGGTGGGCAGGGTCTAGGTGGGTGGAATCTGTCTGAGTCCTGTCCTCACATGGGGACTTTATGCCATTGATCTGAAGGTTTGCTCTTGTCCCTTGCTTCCACATCACTGATTTTTCCAAAGGGTCCAGTTTGTTGGCTACCTAACCTCTGGATGTGAGAGGTGGTTTCCAACTTTAACAGGTTACATGATGTTTATGTCAAAGATGTGACAAATCTCTCCTGATGCCCTTTAACTCTCCCTTCTCATCACAAGGCAAGTGTTGGCATCAAGAAGCCCCCAGCAGAAAATCCTGAGCAGAGGCTATCTTTAGCTGAGAGAGAGAGAGAGACCCAGTGTGCCCTGGGCTCAATTTCTACTGCACGCATAGAATGCCCAAAAGAGCTCTGTCCCCGGAGGCCTATTCACTCTGCACCAGGTCATATGAAATACCCTCAGTCCCTGGGACTCTTTTTATTTTTTTTTTTTTTAATTTGTGGGGCAAAATAAGAGGAAGAGTAGGGAAAACCCTCCTTAACTCTGCTGGTCAGGATAAAAACAAGCATCAGTCCCCAAACCAGGCAACTGTCCTGGACTTAAAGGCCTGGAAGCAAGCTAACGATGTCCCCAGATGCCTGATGACACAGTATCTCTGGAACAAACAGGAATAAATGGGACAGACACATAGATACTCAATAAATACTTGTGCAATGAATGATTAGATAAAGTTCCTAAGCTGGAATAAAAAAGGCGGTGATTTCAGACTTTTTCAGCAACAAAGATTTTTTACAAAGTAATTCTTACTCAGAAATATAATATATGACATAGCAACAGAGAAGGCTGCCCCGTTCACTACTCCATGGCTTCCTGGGATAGTTGTGCTGGGCTCACTGGACTGGGCTGGCAGATCCCCAGGGGTGGAGATACAGAGACTAGGCAGGGACCTGTGGCAGCCCTCCCCAGCCCCCCACCTCGGATAGCCCACAGGGGCAGGGACCATACTGCCTAGCTGGTTTCCCTAACTAATTAACAGCCCACGTAGTGTTCCCCAAACTAGGTTGGAGTATTTCCAAAGGAAAACACAAATTACTGTTCACACTCTTAACATATCCTGGTTTGAGCAATACTTAATGTAGATACGTTATCCACGAGATACTCTAAGCCTATGCTGAACACAATATTAAGACCTCAGACTTAGGCTCGACGCCTATAGCTCAACCGGCTAAGGCGCCAGCCACGTACACCTAAGGTGGCGGGTTCGAATCCCCAGCCCGGACCCGCCAAACAACAATGACGGCTGCAACCAAAAAATAGCCGGGCACTGTGGCAGGCGCCTGTGGTCCCAGCTACTTGGGAGGCGGAGGCAGGAGACTCGCTTGAGCCCAGGAGCTGGAGGTTGCTGTGAGCTGTAATGCCACGGCACTCTGCCCAGGGGGACAGCTTGAGGCTCTGTCTCAAAAAAAAAAATAAAAATAAAAATAAAAATAAAAAATAAAAAAAAAAAAAGACCTCAGACTTAAATAAAGAAGAATCCATTCAGAACATAGTTTGTGAAGTGCCTTCTGTGAGCCATTTATGGGTCTACTCCTGCCACAGGGTAAAAAGTCTATCCCTGTTTCAAATCTGGGAGGGACACGAATGCCTCCAGGTCATTAGAAGTCCAGCTAAGGAATACACACAGCCTGGGAGGCAAGAGGAACAGCACCAGAGTCCTTAGTCACCCTCACTTTGGCCGTGAGAAGGGCCCAGAGCCCTAGTACCAGGGAACCCACACACTCCTCAGCTCTCTATTATCCAGCCAGACAGAAAGACCTTGGGCCCTCACAGAAAATCTAAATAAGAAGGGAGGCGGAACACATTATTCTTAGTGAAGCATCACAGGAATGGAGAAGTATGAACCCTACGTATTCAACTTTGATATGAGGACAATTAATGACAATTAATGACATGGTGGGGCATGGGGGAAGAGGAGACCAGACACAGAAGGAGGGAGGGGGTGAGGGAAAGGAAAAGAAGAAGATAAAAAAAAGAAAAGAAAAGAAATAAAAGAAAATAGTGACTAATTCTCACATAAATTGTATTTAATTTTGACCAAAGTACATTACTTAAACATTAATTTTTAATTTAACCTGGTAATATGTTGTTTAGGATTTGTATCCTCATTTATAAGTGAAATATGTTTGTTAATTTCTCCTTTATAAAAATATATTTTCTCCAATTTTAATATCAGGTGTATCCAGATGAAGTAGAATGATTTTGAAGTATTTCTTCTTTTTCTATTGTCTATAAGATTCGGCATGATCTGTTTTTTGAAATTATCTTTTACTTTTTTTTTATAAATGTTAGTCGTTTATTTTTTGAGACTTTGGAAAAAAAATAAGAAGTTAACTGACGATTCCATACTGAACCTCAGAGTGAAAGCATTCTATAATAGACAGACTCTTATTTGACAACGTGAATGCTACTTTCTTTGCATTATTATTATTATTGCTTAATATTTCAATGCAGCAATCATCTGATTTCTTTTCTGAATGTATTTTATCTTCGTTTGTTCTTTACGAGGTTTTTGTTTCTTATCTTAACCATTGTTATTGTTATTAAATTTTAAGCCTTTTAGAAGTGCATTAATGTACATAGTTACCGTTCAATAAAAAAAAAAGAAAAAAAAAATTTTAAGCCTTTTTAACTTTGTGAAGGCAAAAAGTGGAAACCTAATAAACACATGTAGATGTTTAAAATAAAGAAAGAAAATTATTAGTTTAATAATAAGTCAGTAAGACAGACATCTCTCCCTCCCCCCCCCCCCAAAAAAGGGAGAGATCTTCAAACTTCGGAGATCCCAGACCTGGGGGTACCCACCTGCCTGCTCGGTCATGTAAGGGCCCTGACTGTCTCAAGTAGCCCCTGAGGCCGTGGGGTCCGAGGCAGGAGTGCATGCTGGGAACATTTATGGAGTCCCCCCAATCTGGACAGACAACTATGAACTCAGACACCTCCTCCGTGCCTTCAACCCAAGCCTGAGGGAGATGGCCACAAGAAGAGAGGGGAGAAAAGGAAACGGCAGCGTTGAAGGCAGGAGGAGAGGAAGGAGAAGGAGGAGGAGGAAGCAGCGGGGAATCCGAGCTCCGCGCTACCTTCATTTTCAGCAGCTGGTTTTCCGCTTGCGCCACTTCTAACTGCCGCTGCTTCTCCCTCAGCTGGTCCATGGATGCTTCATAGGTCTGCTGCAAATTTCTGATTTGATCCTTAATGTTGCTGTTTTCCAAAGTCACATCCACAAGGGTTTTCTGTTTGGGTGAAAATAAAAGCAAAACCAGTTCTTAAAGGATGAAAAGACACGGCTGCAGCCATCCCCTGGGACATGCCTTTAGCACAGGCCACAGCAGCTGCCAGCCTGGGACCCTGCGGTGTGCGGAGCTGCAGGCCTCTCACGGTGGCCGAGAGGTCGGCCCCCCTCCAGGATGGCGGGATAGCGAGCCTCCTCCATCATATCCCACAGCTGTTGTCAACACCACCTGCCACTGCTTAGGGTGGATGGAAAGGGATTAAAATGGAGTCTTCCCAAGCAAAGGTGTTTGTAATATTGCATTTGATATGGGGGAAAAAACAGGTTTGCAAATCATAAATACGGTATATCCCACTTTGAAAACAAACTCATTTTTTCAAATGTGTGTTTATGCATTAAAAAAAAAAAAGACCAGGAAGAAATCCAAATGACATTTGCACTATGTGATAGGATTCTGCATGCTTATTTTCTTTTTTGTTTCTTTCTGTATTTTCCAAATCCCCACAATGAAATCAGAAAACAAAACCTAAGCTTTACAGAATGGAGATATTCCCCTTTTTTCATTTCAGCACTTCTAGACTGCCTGCCAGGATAGGAACTATCTGGCTGAAGTTACACCCATGCCTCCAAATGCTTCCTCCCGCAGGCAGAGAAGAGTGGTGAAGAAGGCGTGCCAAGGAATAGAGTTTGGTGACTTAGGTAAGTGCCTGACAAGTGTCAAAAGCCTGTTGAGTATTGCTCCAGGCCACCCACAGGAGCAGGAATGTTTGAATCAATCGTGTTGCTATTTACCGCTTTGGTTTCTATTTGGTTAACTCTTCTTATGGAGAAATGGCTCCCACAGAATTCCTACCACTGGACACTGGGTTATGGGAGCACCTCCTACCACTCCCCAAGTCATCTACAACTTCAAATTAGAAGATCAGGGAACTCTGGTGCTGGGCAGAGCTTCCAACACCTCTGTCCTCTTCGTAAGATGGTCAGGCTCTACAGCTTCCCAAACTCCTCAACCTCACTTTGACAATAATAAACCTCTCTTAAGAGATTGGACAGTAATAAACCTCTCTCTCCTAAACTTACTTGAATCAGGAGAAAGAATTTCTGAAGGTGATTACATATTAAAGGAAATACTGAAGCCACTTGGAGACAAGGAATCATAAAACACTGAACTCCAAGGGACTTTAGAAACCACCTATCACAGTCACCCCGTCCCCAAGCCTACTGGCTTCACAAATACTACTTTGATTTCCATACTAACATGCACAGTTTGGTCCAGGAGACCAGGATGTTTCTACTCCTGGCTTGGCCACTAGCTAGAGACACCTTGTTCATGTCCCTTCCCTCTGTTGGCCTCAGTGTGTTTATCCACAAAACAAAGAGGTTGGAGGTTGGACAGTTCCTTGTAACTCTGGCATTCTGGGAAATAAAACCCAGGGTCTGGTCTTCCTGTGGATAGCAATGAAAGTGGGTGGAATGGGGCGGAGTAAGAGGCTGGGATCTTGGGTCTACCTTCAGACTCAGTTGATGTGAGATGGTGAGATGGTGCCTTGCTCCCCGCCACCCACCTCCCATAATGACGGTATGATCTTATAGTTATAAGGCTCCTTTGGCTATCCAGAACTAAGACACTGGACAGTAGCTGGGAATCAGTCAGGGAACTGGGATTAGGGCTGACCCTTTTAACACCTGACCTCTGCAGTAAATGCCTGAAGTGTCAGCCAGATGGAGAATGAGAATTGACAGAAAATGCCTGCAATTTTTTTCTAGAAAGAAAAACCAGACTCATAGCATAGATACCACTGAAGTCTGAATTCAGGTGAGATACAGCCTTTCCTGCTCGGCTGGGAGTGAGCTATGTCTTAGGGGGAAGGAACAGGAGTCTTGGCAAGCCCCCGTGATGACAGAAGGAAGGGAAAACAAAGGCTACTGGGTAACCTAGACCCTACATGGGGCTCGGTCTGAGGCTGGGGGAAACTGGCACACACCAAAGAAAGCCAGGAAAAGGGTGGGACCCATAGGCCCCACCAGAAGTGGGCATCCCAGACATACTGTAACAGGGGGCCCATCCAGACCCACTCTTGGACAGTGGCCCAGCCCTGCTGTAGTCACCACTGCCCTGTCAGCTGTTGTTAGAGAATACTAGGATCAAGGGGAAGTGGAGAATCTCAACATGAAAAAGTGTATGTTTACCTAAGAAATTATTTATATAGGGATGGAAAGGATTTGAAATCATCTGTGGAACTTTTAAGAGGAGGGTAAAAAGATAAGAGCCAAATAAAGGGGGGCAGGGGCCGAAACTATTGTTCATATGTTTGGAAACTGAAGCCAAGGGAAGCTATTTCAAATAAATACAATGCTTTGTTTTGGACATTTTTAAAGTTAATTTGCATATGAGATAGGGGACTTGGTTGGAAGAGTAAGAGTAGAAGCATTTGAATAGTTAGCTCCTAGCAAATCAAATCAGGCAACAAAACAGTGCCTTGAATTGAGTGACAACACACATTTTCACCAACATAGGAGACCGGATCTTTCTGTTTTCCTCTCTGCTACTAGAAGACAGTCTTTGAAATACACATGATTCTCTCTGATGCAAAATAATTTCTAAATTAAGAAAAAGTAAGACTTTAAGAATGACTTGCCATGTAAAGGGTACAGATGTCTTTGGTTACACCTGTCTTTTCTGAGATTGGCTGGGCCTCCTATAACATTGAGGATAGAAAAAGAAATCGGCTGACGTGCTGTCCTGGGCACTGATGCTGAGGACCATCTGGGCACCTGGTAGATCCACTGACATCACACTGAACTCAGGATCGAAACCCCCATTTCAGTGAGGGCAAAAACAAAGCATTCCAGTCTCAGTTTGGATGCCCTTCCATCAACTTCCTTCACCGTCTTCTGGGCACAGTTTTTACTGTGGCTCTGCTTAGAAGATTCTACATACTGAGCTGAGGACACACTGTGAGTTACTATTCAGCAAAGGGACAGGGCCCACACTGGGCTGGGCTTGGTTGGCCTGTAACAGAGGGACCCGTCTAACAGTGAGCAGGTGAGTACCTGCAGGCCAATGGAGTCCGACGCCAAGGCTGAGTTCATGGCATCAAAATCATCCAGGGCAGACGACTGGGCTTGGATGTGGTTCTCTAGATAGTCCTGCCGGGCGTGGGAAACCTGGACAGATTGAGGAGACAGTTACACAAAATCAATCCATATACACCCACAGCAATCTTCCATGAGGCTGCAATGCCCTTCTAATAGAAGCTGCATCCACTTCAAATATGGAAAGCAAAGCTTTAAATGAAAATCTACATCTGCATGACCCAGAGAGAAGAGAGGCAGGAACATGGTCCCTTTGCACAGTATCTACACACACCATTCACCCACAGAGCCTCACTCACCCCACAGCAGCGCTGTGAGGAGTCAGAACGTGGCCCTGCATAAGAAACAGAATCAGAGGGGTTAAGTGATTTGCTCACAACAGCCCAGAGGGGACGTGGCTAGAACTAGAACCCAGATGGAATCTTCTGCCATCTTGCCCTTTCTACTCACCAAGGAAGGGTCTGCTTTGGGCCTCCCAATTCTTAGGAGCTGCTCTTGCTGTTGCTGTCTTACTGGGCGTGTGTTTAACATGTATGGGAAAGTTTCATCAGAGGCCAGGCTTGAGCTAGATCTCAGCAAGAGGCTGGATACAAGTAGAACTAGGGGTAGGGTTCTCAGGAAGGCTCAGATGTGCAGCCAGGGGAGCTGCAGGGAACAGCCAGGCAGGCAGAGGGCAGGAGCTGCTCTTGGGGAGTGGGAGAGAGAGCTGAAACGCCAGGCCAGGACCACCTGTGTGTGGCATGCTCTGGGGCGTGTTTATGTAGCAGGAGTTTAGCAACTTAATCTGGCTGCAGGATGTAGGATGGGCTGGAGAACAGAGACTTGGAGGCAGAGACACGGGGCTCCTGGGACAGTTCTAGCATGAGAAAATGCGGGTGTGTAGGAGATGGTGACAGAAAGCAAAGGTCAGAGCCTTGTTTATGCATTTATTGCAAATCCAATCCTTTGGCTTTGATGACAGTCATTAGTGTCTGTCAATGGATGACAGTGAATTTCCATAAGTAGGTGAGAATGTCACAAATCTCCTACATGCCAGTGAGAATGGGCTAGGTGGGTCCCCCACTTCTCTAATCAGGGCAGTAGGTCTTACTTAAGCAGATAATATCACCACCCAGCCAGACACTGAACTCTAATGCATGACTATTATAATCACCTTTCTTTCCTGCAGATGTTAACTCTTATGAAAAGTATGTCATATAGATATGGACTTTTATCTTTAGGATTACTAATAACAATTTTTTTTAAATGTCCATAAGCATTAGCTTGGTTAATCTAAAGGAAGGTTATTTTTCTTAAATTTTTGAGTAGGTAAAAGCTCTTTCGATTTTTGGTACAAAGATCGAAAAAGAATAAAAGGTATATCCTGAAATAAATCCCCCGTCACTCCTGCCCCATCTGCTGGGTTACCATCCCACCCATTGTGCCCCCTGGTTGGGAACCACTGTGCACACACAGAACAATCCCAATAGATATTTGTCCCATTCACACAAATGGTATCAAATTATACATATTTTCCTTCATCTTGCTTTTTTCACCTACTCTGTATCTTTGAAATCTTTCCATAACTCTTTTCGAAGGGCTCAGTTGAGCTTTTTATTTCTTTTACAAATGTGTATACTCTATTGCAGAGATATAATTTATTTTACTTCTTCCTTCCTGATAGACAAGTAAGTTTCCAATCTTTTCTCTGTTCCAAAAAATGCTGCAATAAAGAACTTCATCGGCTCAGCGCCTATAGCTCAACCGGCTAAGGCGCCAGCCA